AGCCAGGCCGTTCTTTCGCCACTTCCCGGCAGCTGCCTGAAGGATGCTCAGAGGGAATCATCTGCTCTTGCGGATGTGGACCAGGCTGCATTACCAGTATCTTTAGCCACCGCCATCTTCACCAGCCTTGCCCAACCTGGTTGCCCTCCAGATGTGCAGGACTGCAGCTGCCTGGCTGGGCATGATGGGAGTCCTAGGCCAGCACAATGGCAGGCTAATCCACCATTTGCTTATTTGGTACCTAAAAGAAGTATTAATGAAGAGAGTCCACTCCGAGTCTGACAAGACCAGGCAAGAGTGCGGGCGCTCAAACGGAGAATGCTGCCACTTTTATTCCACAAGTACAGCCATGCTAGTCCAGGGCGATACCTTTGGCAAGACAGATTTATTATGGCAGATGCTTTTTCAGACTAGATTAGTCTTTAAGATGCCCCGAGACACTTGTTTTTGAAGAGGCTGATCATGTTTTCTCACAGAGCCGGGCTAAGGATTTCAGGACGATAAGCATCAAGCTCTCCTTTGCAGCACTGCTTCACCTCCTTCGGAAATTTCCCTATAGCTGCTCTCATCAGTACAGAACAGCACAGCCATCCAGCAGTTGGAGGAATAGGCATGTGATTGCTCTGAAAGGGTAAAGGGATCTTGCTCCATCTTGAACAGCAACTCAGGGCGATCCCAGATAAGCTTGGCAAAACCGGCCATGCAAAGATACTTCTGTCGACTGCCTGGTACTTAAATCCACCCATCCAAACAACAAATGCATTCTCTTTTACTTCATATTGAAGCTAATCCGTACATTCATAAAAGAATGCATTTCCTCTACTTCCAATTGCAGCTATTTAGGATTTCACACAGCTTAGCCTATCTTTCAGGAGGGACTGCAGAGACGGAGTGATGTGGGGCCTTCCATCTGTGGTTTGGACCACACTTTGCAGGACTCCGGACGATCAGTCAGGCTGAGAGAATCCAACCGCCCAGAGGCTCCCCGTCCTGGACTAGAGAGAGGGCCACCATGGAGACAAAAGAGAGGAAAGTGCCTCCTCTTCTACCTGTCATCTCACGGCAGTAATTCCACCAACTCTCACAGGAGAAGCTGAAGGGCCAATTCCAATGGCTCTCCTGAAACCCAGTGAGGGTCCCTGGACCCTTCTTTCTGAACTCTTTCCAGTCAAGCTGCTCATTCTAGGAACTTGGTCCTGTTAATAAATGCTGCCTTTTTTTTCCTCTTGTGCTGCATCTTTTCGGTTAGCAGAGCCTTGCTTTTTATTGATCTTCAGTAAACTGCTTTGCAAGCCTTTCAGTTGAAGAATGGGAGTAAAGATGCTTTAAAAATAAATATATTAAACCGCAGAAATCCGCATCAGGTTTCTGCACTCTGCATTCCTACCTCAATTTATTGTTAACATCACAGAGTGGAATAAAAAACAACCTCAAGCTTATGCATTTTCAAACTATTTCCTGGAACCACAAGATATAGATTCTTGTTGCTATGATACTTAAAAAGCATAGCTGCGCAGAAATTCCCTTAGGAGTAGAGGGGCGGCATATAAATGGAAAAATAAAATAAAAGGAGGGAGGAAGGACGGACGGACGGAAGGATGGAGCAAGCCAGTGAGTGAACGAACCATGGGTCAACTCTTACAGCTTCATTAAACTACTCCATCTTTAGTGCTTTCTCCATAATTTCATCTGTTTCTTGGGATTCTATCTCTAAAAGATCCCATTTTGAACTACTAGAGAGCCAAAGGCAGGCCAGAATCTTTCATTTAAGAAAGCATTTCCTGAACACATTATACGAGCGGTTCTATGTCTCCTTTCTGCCAAGCAGGCTCCCACACCACAAAATGAAAGCAAAACACAGCACGCTTTTAAAAATTGGGCCAAATACCATTTTAAAAGGCAAAGGCCTGATGAAACATTATTTTCCTACGGTCTTAAACTGGGCAAGCATGGAGCCAGCCTCATTTCTCCAGGGAAGGCGTTCCACAGCCAAGGTGTCACTGCAGAAAAGGCCCTGTCTTGAGTACCACTCACCCCACCTCCCTTGGGAGCCGGATGCACAACGAGGCCTCCAGCAAAGACCCCAAATTATGAGCTGGTGCATATAGGAGGTGGCAGACATTCTGCTATTTAGAGCTGGAGGGACTCAAAGCAGAACGTTGAAATAAGCATCAGAAAGTAACTGGAAGCCCCTTCTCTGGCAGCTGATTCAAAACTGATGGCATGTGGTCTTTGAAAAACAAGCCGGACAATAGTCTTTCTGCTTCCCCACTTTGCTCTAGTGATGGTCTCCCAACATTTTTCAGGGCAGACACATGTAGAGTTCAGGATGGTAACCAAAATGAGAATAGTTCCCTCCTTTGGGTCCCATTATACTAATATATTATATATATTATATGAAGGTCATATAATTATGTGTAATACATTGTAAGAATAAATACAAGAGTTAGGAAAGTTTTAGTACCATAAATAAGGAGTCGATTTAAGGTAAGAATGATGGTAATAGTACATAAGGAATTGATGATTTAATATTAGTTAAAGACTGGAAGAGTTTACCTTAGGGAGAATAGAGATGGGATGCCATGGGGTAGCAAACAAGTTTGATTTGAATTTTAAATAAGGGGGATAATTAGTAATGGAGAGAGGCAAGAGGACAGTGTGAGATGGCATTCTAGTAGCACGGATGACCAGTGGTTTGAAGAGCGATGCTTGGAAGATTTCTCTGGAGGAAGAAGGGGATTAGTATTGCTACCAGCCAGGGAGATGGCTTTATGGGAGATAACTTGGGTGTACTTTTGATTTTTCTTATTTCTGTTCCCCCCGCTTTTCCTCTTGCAAGAATGCGCACAACAAAGGAACACAAAACTACATGTAGTTAAACTGTTATGCCGAAAATAGAGTATTCCCTTCGAAGGTTAAGGGTCTGTGGAATGTAATTGACATTTTAAAAAGTGAAGCAATGGCAAACGAAGAAGAAACACACCAGAAGAAATGAGGAATTCCCAGGCATGGATCCTCCAGACCAGACCCACCTTCTCTAGGGAGGGTCAAGCTGGGCATGCCAATCCTAGACTGTCTTTGTCATGGCGCTCACCCAGCCCCTCAGGAGCAAGGCTGGACCACATGGACCCTCAAGGAGTTAATCTTGCACCCCCAAGAAGCTGCAGCCCCAGCCCCATGCTGGTTTGCCCACTGATCCACGGCCTGAGCCAAAGTTTGCCCACCCTCACTGCAGCCTTCCCAGTCCACAGCCCCTCTGAGGTTTTAGACTGGAGCCGGCCCCACTGGCTGGGAACTGGGCATCTCTGGAAAGTACCAGGTAGACAAAAGCTGACGTGGAACACACTACACAATATATTCCAGGCCCTCTGAACACTAAGAATGTATTATTGACTGTAAATTACTCTGAGTGGTGAAAACAGCAAAGCAACTCATTCATAATGAATGCTAACAATCCACGTGCTTTAAGCCTCTTTATCAACATTTCCGCAACTTGCTTTAGAAAGCCACACAGCTCTCCTCTTCCTGCAGTGGAGAATTCCACGGTGAGTTGCTTGTTTTAAAATCTTGCCTTCTTGGCTGAAATTCATGAAAACAATCAGGCTAGCTCTCAGAGAAACCACAGTGATCTGGTCTGGCTGGATTCCAGCTGTGCTTTAAAAGGGGCTTTCCTTCACAGAAACTATTGTCGGAATTCATCTCTCAGCAGTCCAAAGTGAGATTGCCTATATGGAACCTCACCAAACAGAGGGTACAGATTAAAAATTAGGATAGGAAATACCAACTAGCGAAACAGTGGATTACTTCCATCTAGCATTTCATACAAAAGCTGATATCCTGTGTAGAAAATGGTGCAGAGCATGTATTTTAAAGTTTCTAGTCCATAATCCTGGGGAGCAGCGAGTGTGTGCTTAGTTTTTGGGAGACTCCCTGGGTTTGGTTAGGAAACGTGACTTGAGACTGACATGCGTGAAAGGCTATTCCATGACTCCCTCTGGAATCTAGACCCAATTTCTCCAGCTCAAGGCACCTTGCTCTTTGGAGAGGTGACACAAAAGGTCAGAGAGCATAAAGAGGTTTGTCTTCAAACAGAAACCCAAGACAGAAAATGTTGTCCTTAACAAAAAAGGGGGGGGCATTTATAAAGAATTGTAAGCCGAACTGATCCTGTGAAAAGGGGATTCCTTTAATTTGCAAACAGCTCATTACATAGTGCAAAGACCCCACAAGCAAATAATGAGTCCCTGCAGAGGCAGCAGATGGGCAATTGGAACAGAATTGTGTGAGGGGTTGCAGCAGATGCTGGATTAAAAGAAGGAATCACACATCCTCATCTTTTCATAAAATAACCATAATCAGAAAGATGAGCAGAACGGGCAGCAGGATGAACAAGGCACTAACCAGGAACGAGCGGCAAGCCCCGCAACAGCAGGCAGGTATTTCCGCCTTTTGTATTTCTCTACTCCCAGCCATGAGCAATTGACCCTGAATGCTAAAAAGAATCCTGTTTAGGCAGCACAGAATAAAATTTCTCAGAGGCAGATTCTGCGGTGAGGGGAAGAGAAGTAAAGTGTATATTATTCTAAACCGGGTTCCCCTGTTCCCCGCACAACCTCTATAGATCCTGAGAAAAGATCAAGGCACGTGAACTCCTGTTCCGCGCATGCAGGAGAACCAGTGTGTCAAGTGGACTCCATCGACTGAGACGGCGTCTGGTGAGACTCACAGGGAATGCTTCCAGTATGTTAAAAATACTTCCTACAAGAAAAGAATTTAGGACTTCCCTCTCTTGCTGATGCACTTAATTTTTAGTCTGTAGGAAGCCATTTTTAACATGGGGTATTACATACGCTGCATCTCCCACCTGCGGCCTGAAGCGGCACAGTCCTTTCTGGACCTCAGGATTTTAACCTCTGCTACATGTCTTGACCCAGCCTGTAATACCACAACTATCATATATAGCTCTTGCAGATTACACAAACACACACAAGCGCTATGCATTACTTGCTTTTGTCGACTTTATTGCTAGCATATTGTCAGCACTGGATGGGTCTGCATGATCATGGAGGAAAAATACGCCTCAGTGGCTCACTTTCTGGCCCTGGCTGTCAACACTTGGTTAGCGTAAGTATCCTCATCAGTACAGGTTGCCGTGCCGTCCAACCCGGGTGCAAGGCTGAGGTGGCCTACAAATTACTTTAAATTCTGGAACAAATCATGGGGTTTCACAGCTATTCGTAAGTCAGCCCGTTCTCATGGGGTTTGGATGTCACAACACCCCACACTGGGTTAAGGATAATCATGCTGGTTTAGGAGGCATGTGACCAGCAGGTGCAGGGGAGGAAAATAAGCCACTCTAGCTCACTTTCCCCCTGTGATTATGTGAACTGGGGTCACAGTCTTTCCCTCTGGCCTGCCGCCATTAAGGCACTCAGTTTAACAGACACTGGTTTTTCAACTACCCATCTCTGGCTGCACACAAAATGCATCCAGAGAGGTGCTGTGGCTCCCCCAAGTCCAAAGTTCAGCAGTGCTCTGCCATGAATCAGCAGGGCTCCGCCAATTTAATGCCAGTGTTGAAAACTTAAAAATGTGCAGAAGCATTTCCAAGTAAATAAAATAAAAACAAAACAGCCTTTGGTAACAGTTAAATATTAAGTGCAGATAAAATAGGGAACAAATCCTATGTAGTTGCTAGACTGGTCAACTGCCTTTGTGGAGGCAATCAGTAACACCTAGTTAATGAACACAATGCAAATTTAGGTTAAATACATCCTATTAGAGACATTTCTTCCTTATTTTTGAATGGCACCAGTGATAGCCCTTAAAACTTGCTTTGAAGAGTTAGCAACTGATTTATCAGGCGGGATGCTGAGGCAAAGATAGGAACTCTTGCTCTCAAGACTGGAAAATCCACTTTGAGATTTCACTTTTCACTCTCATTTTGCACAGTGAAGTTTAGCACCCTAAAGCATTTGGGGCGAGAGTTGCAAAACCTCTGCAGATATCAAGCAATGTCACAAGGGCAAAAGTGTTCAAACACATTGCACAAGCCTGCCGCAGAAGCAGCAGCTGACCTTTTGGCCGCTGGACTTCATCTGTGACAGGGAGGCAAAAGCTCTGCTCTGATGCATACTTGCCTGGGAAGTGAGCTTTATTTTCCAAGCAAACACTTTTAGGATGAGGAGGACCCTGAAACCTGGTGCATTCAAAAGTCCAGTATCAAGCTGTGTTTGACCACAGTATCAAGACTGCAAATATCTCTCTGGCCCAGGTGTCATGGTCCATTTAGATCAGAACAGCTATCAATAATTTGGTAACTCAGAAAACAAAATTCATCTGCAGCATGCATCTCAGATTCCTTTTTCGATTTAGACTTTAAAGCAACTAGCCATTTCTGCCTGTGCATGTCCCAGCAAGCCCCTGCCCTCCTCACTGTAACCATGGGCGAGATCATAGGTCAACAACAGCTATTCTGTGGGCACAAGCTTTTGACTCAATCTTATTGCTATATTTTGGAGAAGCAGTGCTATGGATATTTACTGTCTGGCTCTGGAAAGGAAAGCATCCAAAAGCTATTCTTATGCCAAGAATGACAGTCAAACAAAACCAGCCAGTATCCCCTCCCTTTCTTCACAGGTACCATCAAATTTGCTCTCAGTAGCTTGAAATCTTAAGCTTACAGGACTTTAAACTGTAGGATTGGGAGTCTGCCTTTCTTAAGGAGGTGCCCATTCCGCTCAAATCCAACCCAGGCAAGGCGGCATAGTCTCCATTCACTTGCAAGGACAATTCAAGTGTTGCTGGGACCAGAACAAGGGGCTGAGTGCACCAGCTCTTGCATCCCTGCCACTTTCACTTTCAATCAGCTTTAATCAACAATCTAGGAATGGCTTAAACCAGATCATAACCCTCCCCGCTTTTTTCCCTTCAATCTCAGTCCACGTAACAGATTCAGAAGGGCCTAGAAGTGAAGTATTTGGATTTCAGTCCTACTGCTGAAACTGCACTGTGTTAGCAAGCAACAATAATCTTAACAGCTGTTTAGCCCCACATAATCCAGAGGGGGTTGGGGAGAGTCAGTCAATCAGTTGTGCAAGAAGGTTAGAATGGCATGATTTTGCATAGTGACCTGTGGAAGTTACATGCCAGCAAGCACAAAAAGACTCTACCTAACTCCCGCATAAGCTGGGAGGCATTTGTGTGCTCTAAAGCTATGCATTTGGTGTCCAGCTTTCCTTTCTCATAAGTCTGAAGACCTAAAACAAATGGACAGGGAAAAAAACCTAGAGAAGAAAAATGGCTTGAATTAACAATATTATCACAGTTCTTTTAAAGTTACATATTAAAATGATGATCAGTGAGAGCGAAACCTTAACACTTTGGCCACGCTTCTTAGAAGGGCCTCCATATTTTAGGATTTCTGTAAGTATAACCTAAGTTAATTAATGTCTCCTTATGCTGATAGCACCAGTCAGAAGCCTATGGACCAGAGCTTGAATAACTTTCTACTAGCAGAATCACAAACACACGTTAACCAGACCCTGTTCTGCAAAGAGCTATGAAAGCTGTCCTGCTTGTCAGTTTCACCTATTCATCTAGAAGGAAATACAGGGCTGAAAATGTCCAGGGATACTCTCAAAGCAAAAACAGGCAAAATGATCCCAGTCTACATTCCAGGCATGTTTACCAATGACACCTGCCATGGGATTCTTTATTCTACACACCAATTTATAGAGAGCCTGGAATCTTTGCATTCGCCAGTTCCCTACCATGGTTACTGATCATCAGCCTCTGCCTAGCAAACACCTGACAATTTTCAAGCCCCATTTTTTAATACTCAACATGAAGGCTCCACTGAGAAACTCCACACCCTTAACAAGAGTAAAGTTTTAGCCTGTGACTGTGATCAGCCACTGTTCTTTCTGATTCAACAGGAGAATGACAACAGAAGTGCATAGAGACCACTCATAGTGTTTTCCAAGTTCCACTGGTTACAACAGGTCTTTGGAAATAAAAAAGTAACTAATGCAGGCACCAAGGATCAGCAAAGAGGTCCTTTCCGTACGAACTGCCATGGAAAGCCGGTAGAAAGGGCTGAGATCCCAAGCGCTGGGAAGCTTGATAGAATGTGGATAAAATTGTCCCCCCCACAGCTCACAGATAAACATTGAGAGTCTGCAGGATCATCTGCCGGCAGAGTGGGCAGTTGCGCTGGTAGATGGCCTGCTGGAGCAGGATTTCAGTGCATTCCTGGCAAAGGCAAAGGTGCCGGCACGGGAGGAGCAAGACTGTCTTGGTTTGGTCCTGGCAGATGACACACTTCTTCCGTTCCTCTTGTTCTTTGAGGAGAAGCCATGGGTCACTGTCCTCCTCCAGAGCATTTAACTGCTCTTTTGTGGAAGGTTTGGCATGCAGTGCACTGGGCCCTTCCCCTTGAGGCGGAAGGTGCTGCCCTGCTGGTGCACCGCGTGGTGCGGCTGATCCCGCGTCAACATCATTCCGGTGCTGGTCTCTGCCGCCTCTTGGTGGGACTCGGGCTGCGGCCTGCTGATTGGCCGCAGGGGGCCCTTGCCTTCTGGGCTGAGCTGCGCCAGGGAGAGCTGGTCTCTGAACCACAGTAATTATAGCTGGCCGCTCTTGGTGGGCCTCAGCCACGAGCTGTTCCTCTTGTTCTCCATGCTGGTTTGGTCCCCCGCCACCGGTGTTCCAACTGGCCACCTGGAGACTCCAGTCAGCCAGTCTGCGCCAAGCTTGTGAGCTCAAGATCATTTCCAGCGACAGGAGAACAACTTGATAGAGGCGGCGGATGTCCCTGAGCAGGCGGTGATAAGAAGGCATGGTGTTCAAGTAGTCAGACACCTGGTTCACCAGCGTCCACGTCAGCTGAGGATTCAGGATTAATACACTGGCGGCAAGAATCACAGACAGCCACACCAAGCCATACAGGTTGAGGAAGAAAACATTGATCAGCGACTTGCTCACAGAGGCCAGGAGATCAAATACCAGCTGGCAAGGTGTCCACAGGAGGATGACCATAGCAATAGCACTACTGGACAGTCGTGCAACGAAAGTGGCGAAGATGTCCGTGACTCTCAGAAAGGGGCCGACGACAGTTTCCCACAGGGCCAGCCCCAAGGAAAAAAGGTTCTGGGTTCCAATGAGGCAGATGTTGATGATGCTGTTGATGAAGTAAGCCACGAGGCTCATGATAATGGCACACACTTCGCACACTTGCCTAAGAAGTGACTGGCCAGAACCAACCAGGTTCCAGAAACTTCGGTGCATAATTTCTTTGCTTCTCAGCGTCAAGTGGTTGAACAGGTGGCCTGCTACTTTCAAGCTCTCCATGCTAGAACAGAAGCCCCGCAGTAAGCTGACAAGGGTGTGTAAAGAGCTCAGAGTCAAGTAATACATTGCCTCCGCTATGCATAGGAAAAACAGCACAACCCCATTCCAGCACTGGAACACGCAGGCTATCAAGGCATTGGGTAGGTTGTAAACAAATGCAACAAGCCAGATCAGGAGAGAGACCAGAGTAGAAATAAGGAAGAAGTTGACATCCAGCAAGATAACCAAGAGGTCTAAAATCATCCCTATGCCATTGATGACCAGGAACACTAGATCCATCGTTGAGATCCTAATGGTGGTGGTAAAAATGGAAGTAACTAAAGAGACTCGGGCTGGATTGCCGCTGAAGTTGTTCTGCTTCCCAGAAGACTGCTGAAAAGAGAAAGCTCTGTCATGTAGGTACTCATTCTTTTATGAAAGATGGCAATGCTTTGAGTATCAAGTGAAAAGTTAATCAAAGGGATCCCACTAACTTTCCTTGGCTTTGCAGTTGGTCTTCCTCTCACAATTAATATGCATGCCCAATTTGGGAGCAAGGTTGCTTATTTAGAACAAATATCCCAACCATGTACAGTTATGTCGTGCACCTAAGCAAGTACTGGAAGACATGCATTATCCCTCATAAGGCAGTTACTGCTCCCACTGAAGGAATGTAAGAATTTATTCCAGGCTGGATAATAACAGCTCCTCTCCTTAGATTACCTCTGGCTTCTAAATCAACAGTCCCTTGATAAAAATTGCTTTTCACTCCTCTTTCAATTGCTGAGCTCTAAGCAAGGTGATCTTCCGGCTGAGGCTTCTTCCTTCAGAATTTCCTTGGACACTGAAGGAGAAGGCAGTCCTTTAATTAGGGGAGGGGGTACGATCCTAGGCAGAATCCCCCCAAGGAATGACGGGCAGCAGCTCTTCTCACTCCGCTGTGCCAAAATAAAAAAGGAAGAGCCCCTCAGCCGCTTTGGGTGAAAGGGGCAAGTTCTGACAGGTGTTCGCTGAGGAATGGGGCCGACCTTCGAAACTGGGGGCGCTCGGAGGGTGGGGGAGGGGATGGGGTCCCCTCCCCCGACGGGGGCTGCTTCACGAAGGCCTCTCAGGTCAACTTAGGGTGCTGGAGCCGCCCAGAAGTGGGGGACGCGCCTCCGCCCCCACAGGAAAGGCGGTCGCCCCAGAGTCCGAGCCCCGACAAGCTGCCCCGGCCTCCCGTTCCAAGGGGACGCGCGATGAGGCGGGAGGAAGAAGGAGGGCGGCCTGCGGACACCCCGCGATGTCCCCCGATCGCCTCCGTCACCGACGAGCTTGCCCCGCTCCGACGGGCGCCGCCATCTTGGGGGGGCGGGACTACGGCGCCACGGCCAATCAGCGAGAGGCAACCCGGAGACCGTTTCACCGCGCGGCCTCCGATTCGCCCGTTCCCCGCTCGAGGTTTTTTTCGCCCCCGCGCCGTCCGATTGGCCAATTTTGAAAAGACGCCCGTAGGCGTCCGACGGCGCTCGGCGGAGGGGGCGTGGCTTCGGCAGAGGAAGCTCCGCCTCCTCGACATCGGAGAGCGCAACGGACTCGAGCCGCGCTGGGCGCGGGTCACGTGATTCGGGGGCGCTGGAGGGATCGCGGTTTTCGCCGCTTTCAGGGTGTTGGGCAGGCGTGGACAGACGATGCCAGTCATTTGAAAAGTCATGCTTTTTATTTAACTTTTTCCATTTGTGCACACATTGCATGCTCATATAAAATGCAATGCAAAAAATAAATGCAAGTACAGTAAATAGTTGCAAAAATCACATTTTAAAGCATGAAATAATAGGAATCACAACTGAGCAAGTGTGTGTCTAAAACTCCTGTTCTAAACTATTCTTAACAGCCTGGAATGCATAGCAAGGTAGTGCATAAGTGTATAAATCTATGCATGAATAAGTTGTATACAGTTCCAGACATTTACAAGACCCTAAGACCCCATTTCATTCCTTTTTTTTTTTTGGCAAGGGGAGAGATGGACAAATGCCAGGCATTTGCAAGGATGGAATCCTTTCCCCCACCTCCTGACTTGTAACTGTTTGTTTATGATACAGTGAAGAATGATTTTTCTCTCTTCCTGGGCAAGAACGTAGCTGGAGCCCCATTCAGTCAAGTTGCATCCATCTCACCCTGACCTCAAAATGACCCCAGTGGGAAACCCACAAGCAGGGCAGAAGGACAACCACACCCATGTTCCCCGGCAACTGGCGTACATAGGTGTACTATCTCTGATACTGCAGTGGCATATAATTTTAGGACTTGTAGCCTCTGATGGCCTCCTCCAAGCATTTGTCCAATCCCCTTTCAAAGCATCCAGATTGGCAGCCGTCACAGCATCTCGTCACAACCAGTTCCATAGCCTAACTGTGCACTCTGTGAAAAAACCCTTTGTTTTATCTGTGCGGACTCTTCCCCCGCAGCCAGCTGCATCGGGTGACCCCACTGGGGTCTAGTAAGATGCCAGGGAGAAAAAGGGTTTTCCTATCCATTTCCTCTGCACCACACACAATTTTGTACATTTCTATCACGTTTCTCCTTACTTGCCTTTGTTCTAAGTTTTATTGAAGGATTTCTACAGGGTGGGATACATGTAAGGAAACAGAAAATAGTTCTGTAGAAAACAACTTTTCCCCATGTTTTTTTCCTCTAGAGAAAAAGCTGGTCCAGGCTGCAAGAGACCTGGGACTTGAGTGGAAAGTCACCTTCTGGCCAGGACAGTGACTCTAAACACGGAATCAAAATTACAGTGGAGCAGTTTCCAAGAACCTGAATGACTCCGAATGGCCCAGTCAAAGGGTGCTGTTCTCTCCATAAGCACCATCCTTGGGTTCTCAAGTACTTAGGAAGGCTGATAACCCTAATTCTGTGTGAAGGTTAGACTCGATTCACAACACTACATGATGCTCACAAACATTAACAGACCAGCACGTGGAGAATGACTATTTACCTCTGACTGAGAGAACAATCTATGCTACGAGGCCACACAGGTACAAGGCGTGGAAGCTGTGATCACGTTTTAAAAATCCTGCTTCGCTCTTACATTATAAATCCTGTTCCGACAAGTCCTACATTAAACCTGTGGGGCAATTTTACCCAAGAAAGAAAATGCCTCCTGCAAAGGGCGGGGTGGGGGTGCGTGCAGTGGCATTTGCCAACTAGGAATCCTGAGCCAGGCAGATTTCTTAGCTGGTGTTGGATGCAGTGCAGGTTTAGTTGGGGAAAGGAAGAAAAAGCAACTTTTCGCTAAGTCAACTTTTTGCACCTTGCAATGACTATAATGTTAGCAATACAGGGTTGGTTTTTTTCCTTAGCCAAGGAATTTAGGAGCACCAGAATAACTCTGCTCTTTTGGACAAAAGGTTTCTCTGGTCCAGTGATTTGATTTCTGCAGAGGCCAACCAGGGTGTTTGGAAAGTTTACAAAAAAACAGTATTAAGTCAGATGTTCATAATTACATCATATAGCAATTGCATAACAATTGCAACAATAAAAACAATAAAATAAATATTATACAGAAAGCCATTTTAAAAAAATCGAAACATCTCTGCAAGACTCTAAAAATCTCTCAGCTGCCAACCTATCCACCTCCTGACCTCATCTTAACAGTGACGACACATCTTAACTCTGCTTGACATAACAAGAAAGTCAAATATAAATAAATAAGGTCAAGTTAAATCCTTAAATATTACAAAAATAAATTAAATCATTAAGGCAGAAATAAGTAAAATAGCCAAATACCTAAAAGTTCCTACACAGCAATCACCGCTCTCTAAAATATAAACATAAAGCTTTCTCTGGTTCCGTAAGGGAACCTGACAAAACACAGGATTCCACAAGCAGGATACGGGGACCACAGCACCCGCCAGCAAGTGGGGTGCACAGGCCTGCTGTCTCTTCAATAGCCAGAACAAGCCTCTACGGAATAGAGAAACCTTTCCCCTTCAGCAGCAGCCCACAAGCAAGAAAGCGGTGTGACTTTGATTTGCTGTGAACCAAAATAGGTTTATAAATAATTATGTTTAATCATTGTTTTGTTTTTAAGTCTGTGCATACATCATGTTGACTGAACATGTTGACTTCAGAAGAGGCTGTAACTGCAGCAGAATGAAATTTCAGCACCCCTCCCAAAGGGCATTAAATACTTTGGTTTCTTCAGAAGACTCTTTGCAGAGAGCTGCATGTGAGATGTTTAAAGAAAAGCCTTCTTTCTGTCCCTTCCTTGCTAGGCGTCATGATTTGCAATGATTCAACGGTCAGCCTTGCCTCCAACTCCTTTGCCTCCTGGACTGTGTACAAATATCTGCATACACTCGCACTCTGTTATGGTGGAGCGGAACAGAGACTTTCCCCACAGCCCACACAAGCTCTGCTCCTCTTGCAGAAAAATCGCCTTTCCCCCCGAGCTGTGGTTGCTTGAAAACATGCAAAACATCTGGTACAGTTTTCCACACTTGTGGTTTAGGTATGCTGCAAAAGTTGTCCGGCATGTTCTTCTTCGCTGTACCAGAAGAGACTGTTTTAAACAGGAGAGGCATGGGGTTAATCGTGTCTTTGTGCCGAGGTAATGGAAAATTATCTGACTCCACTTCAGTGGGCAGGACAGTTCACCGCAGCAGCAGCGTCCCTGGCAACCTTCCCTTGCTCCCTAAGCTGTCTCGGGTGCTAATTCCTGCAATCTCTGATTTCCCAGTCAGTGCTCTTTTTGATGCTTGTATTTTTCCATTAGGAAGGGTGCTTGCAGAGAGGGCACCTGCATAAACAGAGTCTGGCCTCTTTGGGAGAGGCAAAGCTTAACTCATTTAGCAGAATCGGAGCCCGGCTCAAAGCCAGGTGCCCTGGTCTTCTTAAAGGCTGGCAGATAAGGCCATGGTCCTGTTTTGCCTCATTTGCTGTAGAAAACAAATGCAAAGTGAAGATTAGCATTGATGAGGGTGATGGAGAAAAGAGGCCTGAAAGATTGGACTAAGGTAAGAGCATATCTGATTGGCACAATTTCCTGTGCTATTAGCTTAGCCCTGGATCAGAAATACCCACTGCTTTAAATAAACAGGAAAGGTGGTTATGCAGATATCAGGTCAAACCCTTTCTGTATTTTTAATTGGGACAGAAACCCTGACAGGAAAGTGGAAGGCGGAAGGCAGGCACTTCGTAATCAGATTTACAGTAAGAATGAAGATTTTTATCAGCTGGCAGGAGAAAGGCAACAAGCAAACACAGCATTTCAAAGCAAGAGGGGAAATTTACTACAATGAGTCCAACTGCTTGGAGAAAGTTTGTGCATGTTAAATTTATTGGCATCTTCTCCATAAGGAGCTAAATCTGGATGATGATGAAGATGATGATGATATTTATATCCTGGTTATTCCCGGTGATTGGGACTCAAGGGGACTCACAAAATTGAAATTCTTACGATTAAAACACGCAAATGTATACAAAAGCTAAAAATATAATTAAATCAATTATTAAAATGGAATCACTCCCCAGATTAAAACCACTGCAAAAATGTGAATGGTAAAATTAATCCAGTGCAAACTCACAGGCCATTCTGAAATGCCTGTTGGCATCAAAAGGGTTTTTCCTGCTTGTGGATACCTAACGGGAAAGGTGCCAACCATGCAGAATTGAAGTGCAGGGAACGCCTAGACTGCAGCAGAATGGCTGTTCTGCAGTCTTGGTGGGATTATAAGAGCTGAACTCGATCAAGGCATCTATGGATAAGAGTATTTCAACACCTGAGGTGGAAAGCAGAGTGATACATGAGTCTTTTGCTGGGCCCAGGTAAGCACCTGTAGCCAGCCTTCCACTCTCAACACAAGCATCACATTTTAAAACCTGCTTCCAATTTCTCCTCCTGTAGTAAAACTTCTTACGCCTCAATCCAACGCGAAGGTTGCAATCCTACGCACATAGACAAGTGTGTACGCACACACTATTTATTTATTTAAAACATTTGCATGCCACCCAATCATGCCACAGCACCTCTGGGCAGCTCACAAGCACAAGATAAAAACACAATAAAAACCAATTACCACATCTTAGAAATCAAATATCAGTAAACACAGGCATGATAACTGTGACTTCCAGAACTGCTTAACCAGTCCTGGGAGACACGGTGAAATGCACTGGGAGCTGCAGGAGCTTTTCCTGCTGAAAAATGCATAGGATTGCACTCCTGGAGAAGCTTGGGCTTGGTTCGAGTCTGGGGGCATGTGCTTGCTTGTTTTGCTCCCAAGTATCACCATAATGCCAGTGATATCCCAGGTATGATAAAGGC